CCCCCAATGTGCGGCCTGTACATTTAGGGAGAGTTCCAGAAAGTAATGAATTGGATAATGTGGCTGCTTACGGCCACGGTGTCTCTGTTCAGACACACAGAGCAGGTAGGATGGGCCGGACAGAGAATCAGGACCCGGCTCTTCCTAAGACAGCCCCTCAGCTGACACCTGACGCTACCAGGTCCGTGCCCTGCGTGGCGGGCCCTGGAGACTTGACCCTGAGCCAGGCACCCCGAGTCTGAGGAAGGCTGTGACCACCAGTCTACAGGAGAGATGGCGTGTCAAGCCCATGGACTTCTTTTATTTATTAGGTGTCACTTGTGATCTAACCACCGGCTGAGACTGGTTGCTCCACTGTGACTGGACTTCTTTTTTTCTTATTTGATGACAGTATGTGCTGAGCTGTGGGCCTCTGGGAAACGGAGTAGCACGCAGGCCCCACCAGCTTGGTTAGAGACTATGTGGGCAGAAAAGGGGAGACAGGACCGTCAAATGTCAATATTTGCAACAGACTAGAGAATACATCTGGTTTTCCCAAATTTTAATTTTATCCAACAGATTGGCCAAAACCATATCACCTCGTGAGGTTGCATTGCATGTAGCGAACACCTGCAGCCTGGCATCCTTTGCTAAACCCCGTGGCCGCAGATAGCCTTCCCATGTTTCCTTCTGCTCTTCACACAGGCTCTCCCAGTCCCAGCCCCAGAGCATCGTCAGCTGCCAGTGAGCTCGTCAGGAGATCCTTCGGAACAGCCTCTCCAGCGGCCAACAGATGGGCCCCAGGAACCACCCAGACTATAGAAAGGCAGGGGACAGAATGGGGCAGAGCTGCTCTGACTCCAGAAACCAGCAAAAGAACAGCTTCAGCTAAGGGAATGCAAACCCCAGGAACCCCTGGGTTGGTAGCTGCAGGGACAGTTAGCCAGGTAGAGAGTTCCAGCTGGGCCACCATCCCTATTCCGGAGAGTCCGGCTTCAGCAGTCGGAGGGATGCCTGATACAGTGGAACGTGATTGGCTGTGGGGCACCAGGAGCTCAGCAACAAACAGAGCTGGGGCCAGAGAGGAGGGGAGAGAGACAACCGCTGAGGCCAATAGGCTAAGAGAGGAAGCAGAAAGGGTCAGAATAGCCCTGGCTACAGACTGGACCGTCATAAAGACCATCGGGCCATCAACACTGGCCTCAGAAAAACGGGTGTGGGAAACCCACCAAGAACCAAGCTTGCTTTCTACGCCACAAGCCCTGGGCTCCATTGAAGGAACTACTGGAGCTGCAGGTGTGCGGGCCTGGGGGCCCACCAGCACAGAGATGTCATCTGCCGAAGGGAGCACTGAAGGGGACCTAGACATGCCTGCTGGAGGCAGTGGTCCCCAAACAGCACCAAGCCAGGACCTGATAGCAGGACCCCTAAGGCCCCCAGGCAGGGGGTCCTCCAAGAAGAGGTAAAGCCCCAGGCCCTTCTGTCGGTTGGGGTTCCACATCTGCCCTTTCCTCTGGCGCACCCCTCAGTGAGCTGACTCCGGTGCCCGTCTCCATCTACTCACTTCTTTCCTTCTGTAACCACAAGACAGTAAAGAGGGAGGGACAGAAAATCATCCATCCTCCCTCATTCGAGGTCCATGCTAGAAGAATCAGTATTTTCATGTGGTTTTCAAGAAAAATCTAAACAATGGAAACCTTGGGACTTTTAAATTTTATTTATTTATTTATTTATTTATTAGTTTTTATTGATTTTTTTAGAAAGAGAGAAAAGGAGAGGGAGAGAGAGGGAGACATTGAGTGAGAGCAGAACATCGATTGGCTGCCTCCTGCACACCCCTTACCAGGGATCAAGGCCGCAGCCCAGGCATGTGGCCTTGACTGGGAATTGAACCAGCAACTTCCCAGTGCATGGGACAAAGCCCAACCAACTGAGCCACACATGTTAGGGTGGGACTTTTTTTAAAAGGTGGGAACAAAAGCTCTAGAGAGGAGGTGACTTGCTGAAACCACAAGGAAAGATTGTGGCAGAGCCAAATGCCAAGGTTGGATTCCCGGACTCTCACCCAATCCTCTTTCCCGCTATAGCTCAGTAGAGGGGCCAACACACGGGTTGGGGAGTTGAGAAAAGGAGTCAGGGCTCGGGAACCTGAAGACAGGGCTTCTGGTCCCAGTTCTGCTACTAACCTGCCATGGGACTGAGGACAGCCAACTCACCTTGGCCTCAGCTTCTCAACTATAAAATGAGGGTTGAGGGCCAAATGGTCTACAGTCTCTTAGTCAGCTCTAACCTCACACGTCTGGTGCTCTTCTCCTCCCCACCCCTGCTACTTGCACCCCAGTGCTTCTCCAGAAGAGAAAAACATCTCTCGGATGCTGACTCCTGTCTCCACGGTGCTGTTCCCGCTTGCGCTTGTGGCGCTTGTTCTATTGCAAAGGAAGCTGCGGAGAAAGAGGACTTGTGAGTTGAGTTTAAGTAGCCCCAAGGGTGGGGAGGAGGGGGCTTGCTCCCATCTGACACCCTCAGGACAGGGTTGGGTCAAAGTTGTTGCCAGGACTTCTAGATGTAGAAGTGGTAAATACTAGCCTGAGCCATTTAACCATTCTTGACCTTGGTTTTATATATAAATATATAAATACTAGCCTGAGCCATTTAACCATTCTTGGCCTTGGGTTTATATATAATAAATAAATCATATATATAATTTATTTATTATTTTATGTGCCTCAGGCATGAAACAGCTCTGGCCACCAACACAGGCATCAAGCTAGGATGAACTAAGAACTGTACATCTGCTTTGCCCCTGATTGATATAGGAGCAACACCACCAATCAGGTGTCTCCTTGCCCATTGCCAGGGGGTTCTTGCCCTGTTTTTAAAAACACATTTAGTGACATATAATTCACATGCCATAATATTCACCAATTTTAGTCCAGCCGGTGTGGCTCAGTAGTTGAGCATCAACTCCATGAATTAGGAAATCAAGGTTCAATTCCCGGTCAGGGCATAAGCCTGGGTTGTGAACTCGATCCCCAGTAGGGGACATGTAGGAAGCACCTGATCAATGTTTCTGTCTCTCCATTCCTCCCCCTTCCTCTCTAAAATCACTAAAAATATATTTTAAAAATTCACCCATTTTAAAGTGTAAAATTCAGTGATTTTTAGAATATTCAAATATGTGCACCCATCACCACAATCAACTTTAGAACATTTTTATCATCTTAATAAGAAACCCCATACCCTTTAGTTATCATTCCCTATCCTGCATGTCTCCTCCCCCAGCCCTAAATAACCACTAATCTACCCTTTATGTATAGATGTCCCTATTCTGGACCAACACAGGCATCAAGCTAGGATGAACTAAGAACTGTACATCTGCTTTGCCCCTGATTGATATAGGAGCAACACCACCAATCATGTCTCCTTGCCCATTGCCAGGGGTTTTGGCCTTGGTTTCTTTATCAAACAGGGAAATCATCTTTCACCTCATGTCTCAGTGGCATCCCAGAGCTTAAGGAGAAGCTCTTCTGAAGATGGCAAGACCTATGCCAACCATAGGCGTATGAACCATATGAGCAACCCCAGCAGCAGATAGCAGGAGTGCAGGGCTCAGAGGTGGGACCAGACTACATTTGCACCCTCAGCATGGCTCAGCTGAAAGTCTCTTACAGCAACATGCTCAGGTTCAAATATCCCTAAAATGAGTTTAAACTCCATGGTGTTTAAATCTGGCGAAGAAAGGGTGAGATTTTTGGGGAGCGAGTGGAGGAAGCTAAGATTCTCAGACCCAACTTGTGTCAACCTAAGGGCTCAGGACGCTCTTGAAAGCTTGTGGTGGATGGGGGTGATTCTTGAGGAATCAAATTCAGTGCCCACTGCCCTCACAGTGTCTCTGTCTTTGCAGCTCAGGAGACAGAAAAGGCCCCAGGAGTCACCTTGATTCAGATGACATATTTGCTGGAGCTGAGCCTCCAACCAGATCAGCTGCCCCATGTGGAGAGGAAGATACTCCAAGAGGGTTCTTCTCCTGCCTGTGCCACCATGAGGGTCCCAGAGAGGGACCCTGGACCCTGAGGAATGAAAGGATAACAGGACCAAACACCATGACCCCTTCTCATTCTTCCTCCTCCGGTACACAAGGAAGTGAATGAAGCTGGTACTTTATTGGGGAAGCAAAGGCTGACCATCCTTGGACCTACAAAGGTCATGAACTGGCCACAGTCAAAGATGACAGTGTGACTCAAAAAAGGCTTCAAGAAAGGATTTATTAAACACTGGTGGAGGTCACCTAGGAAAAATGTAACATTTCCATTCTTGGAGGTTTCAAAATGTAAGAGGTTTTCAATCAGTGTGAGGAATTACAAATTTTCAACCATCACATCTAGCCCATGCCAGTTGCCCTCTTTCCTGACGTCTGTTAGCATTCAGCCTGCTGCATACATTGAATTATATTCATGTATACTAGCCTTGCTTTCTCAAGTAAATTCTAAGTTCTTTTAGGGCAGTAATTGTGTTTTATTTCACGATGCCCCCAGAGAACTTTCATTCCAGTAGGGCCCCCCCCCCCATAAATATTTGTGACTGAATGGCTGACTGCAAGGGCACAGGCTCAGTGGCCTCTGGGGACCCTCCTCATGCAGATGCTCTGACTGTCCCTTCATTCAGGAGTGCCCTGGTGGTTTTTACACAGAGACCAAAAGGACAGCCAGTCCTCAAATCATCGTTCCCCATTTGGCCCCATACTCATGCTGTAGACGGTTTGACCCAGTCAAGATTTTCTGGGATTTTCCTAAATTTGTGGAGGAGGAGGGCATTTTTCAGTAGATTCTCGCCTTTTCACAAAGCTTCTCTTGTTCCACTGCTTCTAAACCCTTGATAGCAAGGATGTTGATGGGGCTAGAAAATGGTTGAGGTGGGCGGGGGAAGGAGTAAGAGAGAAAGTGGCTAAATGGAATTTATGTAAATTCTGCTTTTATAACCACTTCATCTCATGCCTATGGGGGGCACTTTTGCTCCATCCTTGGTCCCACTGTCTTTGCAGGAGTTACCTCTGCTTTTTTATTTTGCCATATCTGTTAACCAGCTGCCTGAGCTTCATGTCTGGGCAGAGAAGCCTTTGAGCAATTGAAGAGCAGGGAAAGAAAGACTCTGATAGCGAATGAGAATTGTCAGGTAGACATTCCCAGATGCGTTAGCCCTGCTTCCTAAGCTGTCAGTGGCACCAGAGACCCTTTATCAATACCTCCTCATAGCTGAGTCTGAACCCAGACACCTTCTTAAGAAAATCAAGGAGATGCTGTCTTCCTGGTTTGTGAAAGAGAGAGACCCATTGTTTTTGGATAAGTAGGGAAGTTGTATGCATGTAACCAAAGGGAATCATTGCATTTCCAAGCTAATAGGTCCTTAGAGATTAACCTCTCTAAAACCCTCAGCCTCCTGGGAGCTAACTGAAGCCCTGTGGGGGAAGCGACTTGTTCAAAGTCACTCAGTTAACCCAGTTAGTAATAGCAGAGGGAGAACCAGAAAAGGGAACTCAGAACCTTAATTTAGTGCCTTCTCCACCATCACCATTATTAACAATATATCAAAACAAAACTAATCAAAAAACCAATTACACCAAGTTGTCTTGTTCCAGGCCATTCTCATGCACACTATCTCAGTGACCTGCTTAAAAAAAATCTGTAAGAGAGATAGAACAGCCAACATTATCCCACTCTGCCAATGAGGAAGCAGGCCCTGAGGGATATGTAATTCAGCCAAGGTCACTTAGCTCGTTAGAGGCAGGGACGGGCTGAGAACCAGGTAATATAAAATCATTTTACCTAATTAGCATTTATCAGGCTTTCCGCAGAATGCTAGCTTCTCAGGATTGTTAAGAGATATTCTAAGGAAAAGCAGATTTGGAAACTCAACGAAGTTTGGCAAATGAGGGTTAAACAATAAACAGTTTCTTCTGCATAGGATTTTTTACAGCTTCCAATACACTAAAGTGCATTGTGAATAGCCCCAGGAGGTGGGAGCATTATATCTGTTTCCCCAACATTTTTGGACTGCTGCATTTTGATGAAGTAATCTTACAAAACTGGGTTCCTCTGATCACCCCTTTTGAGGGAAAGCTTAATGCACTAAAGCAGGGATCTGCAAAACTTTTTTGTACAGCTGTCAGAAGGGAGGGGGTTGTGGAGCTGGGTGAAAAAGGTTAGGGTTAGGTTTAGGATTAAGAAAAAAATCTAACAAAAACTCATAGACACAGAAAACAATATGGTAATTACCAGAGGTAAAGGGGGTAAGGAGAGGTAGAAGAGGGTAAAGGGAGGATAAATGGTGATAGAAGAAGACTTGACTTGGGGTGGTGAACACACAAAACCATATACAGCTGATGTGTTATAATATAGAATTGTACACCTAAAACCTATATAATTTTATTAGCCAATTGTTATGGGTTCAATCAGCGAGATAGACCACCGACTCAGAATTTAAATTTAGGAGCCTTTATTAAGCTGGCCAGCTGACTACAGCCTCGTCCCCCGCCCCCCCCTCCCCCCCTGGGAGCCTCGCAGCTTGTAGTGCCGACCGAGGGCACAGCAAAGCCTTTTATCTGCAACACTAGAAAGCATTTCCTGGCACTGGTAGGGTTTACACAAAGTTAACAAGTACGAATGGGGAGGTAAACGGAGTCACACCTGGCTGGGTTGAATCATAATACATTGTTTTCTGAGACAATCTAGCAATTTTTCTCTGTCACAATCCCGGACCCTAATACAATCGGTAACCTTTCCATGCCTCCGTCCCTCCCCCTAGCACACCAATGTCACCCCAATAAATTCAATAAAAATAAATAAAAGTAGGTAGACCACTTCCCTCACCCCCAGTCTCCTTGACAGTCAACAATGACCAGCAACCCCTCTTCTCCTTCTTCCTATTCATCAGATTTCCATCATTATGCCTATCTTTATGCCTAAATTATATAATATGTATTTGTTTGTGTCCGACTTCTTTTACTCAACATGTTTTTGAGATTCACCCAGGTTGTTGTGTGTACCAATAGTTCATTCTGTTTTATTGCTGAAGAATATTTAATTGTATGCATATACCCGATTTGGACTATTCATTCACTTATTGTGGACATTTGTATTATTTCCAGGGTCTCATTATTATAAATAAGGTTGCTCTTAAAAAAAAGTTAAGTGTGTTAAAAACAAAACAGCAGGCCCAAAATGGAGTCACTTATGCTAAGGCCCATATCACCAAAAAGAGACTTAATGATAGTTTCAGCCTCTCCCAGAAATGGAGTCTTAAATCAGTCAATCAGGAATTGCCTGTCAACAGTAGTGAGGGTATCTGCCTGCTAGATCCCTGCCGTTCCCCTAAGGGCAATGGCCTTGCCACAGCCAATTCACTTTTTGCTGGGATGACTTACCTGTCCCTCTCCCTTCTGCCTATAAAAGTCTGTCATTTTTGCACAGTCCCTTGGAGCTCCTTTCTGTTTGCTGGATAGGATCCTGCCCGACTCATGAATTGTTGAGTAAAGCCAAGATCTTTAAAATTTACTCAGTTGAATTTTGTTTTTTAACAAAGGCCAACCAGTAAATATTTTAGACTTTGTAGGCACTCAGCCTCTATCACAACCACTCAGCTCTGCTGTTGTCGCACAGGAAGTGGCCAGAGACAATACATGAAGGGCTGACTTTGTCTTCCAACAACATTTTATTTGCAGACACAAGTAGCAGGAATTTGCCAGTTCCTGCACTAAGCCATAAAACCAACAAGACTCTCCTACTCCTACTCCAGTGGGAAGGACCAGACCCCACTCTTCCTCAAAAGCTCCATAGGAACTTCCCCTTCCTCCCAACTCCTCTAATACTTTCTGCCTGGGACTCAGCAGTTAGCACACCTTGCCTGACCACCTGTCTTACGGGGAAGGAGGCGACCAGCCCGGCAAACGTGTTGGCCAGGTGGCTGAAGTCAGGAGCAGCTCCCAGAAGTAGAAAAGGCTGCCAAGGTAAGGTGTGATAGGGAACGCCGAGGTCCACGGGTGGTTGGGAGCCAGTACAAGTTCAAAGGGCCAGAACAGAGCCAAGATCAGAGTCTCAGGGCCGAGTATGGAACTGGGCAGAGATAAGATCTGAGTGAAAGCTTTGCCAGGACGGAAGTGGGGCAACCCCGAGTGTTTATAGCTTCTTTTTTATGGACTAATTGATGCATGGAATGGGGCAGGAGTGGTTGACTTAAAGGATCAGACTCAGAATAGGCAAAGCCAGCCAATGCCACTACTTGGTACTATCAGTGGTTTGTTTTTCGTTGTATATCTCCTGCTGGCATGATGCCACAACACGGGGACATGGGGCAGGGAGACGTCCACCACCAGGCTGGAGTCAGGACATGTCCATGGAAATTTCTAATCCCAGGCCCAGGAACCACTGACTTCTCTATGATCCGGCAGGTTCTTTGGCTCAGGGCACAGCTCTTCCATTCTTCCCTCTGTGTTTAATGCCACCACCACTTGTTATAGTGAGTCCACATAGCAGGTACCACCATAGATGTTTTCACATTCTGTAAGGTAAGTATAATAATTCCCATTTTACAGATGAGAGAACTGAATCCAGAGACATTAACTAGTTCCACTCCTAGGGAAAGGGCAAGCTGGGAATTGAACGCAACGTGAGTGATAGACCCCACGGCTTAAATCTTTGATCAGTAGGCCGCACCGCCTTCCTCCATGTGTGGGTATGGTCTGGGTATCTGGTCAGGTCTTTTCTTGTTCAGGTTTCCAAAGCCCCCTTTGCTTTCCCCTTTTGGGCCCAGGTGTAGAAAGATTCATAGGCATTTCCAGTAATTTGTTCTCTTCAGTCACCTAACTGGCATATTCCTGTCTTGGCCAAGTGGCGTGTAAAAGCTCAGGGAGCTGGAACTGACAGCTAAAAATTCAGTCACCAGCCCTGAGGTCCTTCCTGCGTTTGTACAAACCGAGCTCAGATCTTCGTTCCCTGCGGGGGTCCATCTTTCTCGGGTAACTCAGGGCCGATGCCCGACCCCCAGACAATGGTTCCTTGTTCTCCACTTAGACCTTGGGGGTGGGTTCTTCCTCTCCTCCAGCAGCCAGTGACGCCAGGAAATACAGACTCAGTTTAATGGCCGCTTCAGTCAGATGCAAAGAGGAAGGTATTTCCACGGAAAGACCCATCATGTACTTCAGCCAAGTAAACATGGATTAGGTGATTGTTTCTCATTGGTACAGCTATTCCAAGACAAAGCGCTTGACAAATATTGACTAGAGAATGGAGATTCTACACAAAGGGAAACAGACTCTGTGGGCGACCCTGCGTGAAGCGTCCAGCACCACAAAGCTCTCCATGCCTCATAAAGTGACATAGCTTGTCTTACACGGGCCCTTCCAGGCCAACCTGTTCTTTATTGTCAGCAAGAGGGTGAGCTGGCACCTATGGTCCACTCTCGAGGGCTCAGCTGAAACCCAAAGGCAGCAGAGAGGTGCCCACTCCGGGAGAGGACCCAATGCCACACTAGTGAGCACTGAGGCTCTGGGCCAG